CCCCCCCCCCCCCCACGGACGAATTCTTAAAAAATGCCCTGCATGTAAACAGTGACTATAATTCGTTTATTAAACTTCGACCGTAATAATATAAACAAGGACAGTCAGTACATGTCAAACAGGAAAACTGCTCAGAACACTAATACAGCGTGAACCAATTACGTTAGTGACCTGTTGCAGAACAAATACAAAACAACAAAACACGTGCAATACAACAATTATTGTCCAGCTTATCCGAAGTGTTGGGGGGCATTACAGTTCGTACTATAGACTAAATACTTAATATATCGAGTAGATAAAACTAATTTGAAAACTACACTTTCTATGAATTAATAAAATGAACCGCTATATTACAAATTCAAATCTAACCAGTCCATGCTAAAAGCAATATTTCTTTATGTTTTAAGCTGTCTTGCTTTATGACACATGAAATTGATTTCCACGTCGGCGTCCAGTCAGTAAGACGGAAACAAAATCCAGTCCTCTATAACCTACCATTTCCATCTCGAACGTCTGAAAGGCCAAGTCGAATGAACACTGCGAGTAAAGCTAACAGGACAAAAGCCACACGTCTTTTCATTTTGATGTCCGTTAGGTGTTCTGGTATCAACAACGTAACCGATCGATGCAGTCGCAGTATATATACAAGAGGGAATTAAACCACTTCAACTCTCATATATAGTTTAATTGGAAGGCACAAATATAAAATGATTAATTGATTACTATTTGAAGAATCGATTGTTCTAAAGAGGGTAACACTTACTTATAATAACAGGTAAAAAATTACGTACTTGATATTGCAATCAGTTTGGATATTGTGTCTTGCGTAATGGGCCAATCAATTTATACTGTTAACATCCCCCCGGGTATACCCCTGGCCATGAATAGGCTTTTTGAAATTTTGTGGACAAATTTCCCACCCCCAGGATAAAAATGATGTTCATGGTGTCATTTGAAAACCTCAAATTTGACCAGATATGACCAGATTTCATGACCGAGTACTCGCAGTAAGCTAGCTTCCAATTAAACTGGCCAGACTTAAATGTCGCGCAATCATCACTGTTTTCGGATTTTTAACACCGGAAGTTTGTCCGGCATAGTTTGTAAAACGCCTATATATATCAAAGACGGATATTTGCCTTCAATTTAGGCGAAGAGCTTTAATATTTAAGAGAAATTGTTTCCGCACTTTGCCACTGTCTCTTGAAACAACGTTTCTTTAAAAAAATGAACGTTTGAATATCAGCATAGGTATGAGGGGCTATCTTGCAGGGGGTTGGGGGATTGCGGAACCCAATCGTTTCGCTAAGATTGCTGGAAAGATTGGAAAATGATACTGGCGAGTAAAATATAGGGAAAAGGTGATCGGTAAATTTTTTATATACTATAGCTTCTTCATCAAGCATATATGCTGCTGTTTCAGTTGGTTTTTCACAGAGTACTTCAAAGTATAGACTTTTAATAAATTTAAATCACATTGTACCTGTTAGGGGATATTGAAAAATAATTCAACTTTGAATTTTCCGATTTATAGTTAAAACTTAGTGGGTTTAAAACTTTAAATCCCTATTGAATGCATTCGTTGGGAGGTAGAAGTGCGCTTCGGCAAATGCACAATTTACACGAATATACACGTGGCTAGGCTTCACACGTCAATTAAATTAGTGCCCAACTGAACAACAGAATGACGGTACCTAAACGGTATAACTGCATATATATATTAATTTTTGCCCTGATCACCCGATGATATACACCTATACGTGCTACTTAGTAGCTACCAGACTATAATATTGCGACCTACGTCCGGTACGTAAGTGTGAATTATCTTCTGCAGAAAACAAAATAATAATGTATGATTGAAGGAATCATCAACAGGATCAGATTGACATCCCATATTACGTCCATCCATTTAACATGCACTAGGGATATAACACGACCAAGGGTGGGTTGACTACAAATTTTTTGTAGTTCGCTATAACTACAGCTACTTCAAAAATATGTAGTCAGCTACAACTACTGCTACATTTGAACAAAAGTAGTTCGCTACTGACTACAGCTACTGCTTAAAAAATGTAGCGAACTATTTCGCTATTTCGCTACTCAATATTTTTTAATTTTACTGCATATGGAACATCTACTATAGCTCAGGCTGTAAAG